CACCTTAATAGATTTCTCTTTAGAATTGGTATGGCATCCCCCATCTTTTCATGTTCTGTGTGTGTGTGTGTGTGTGTGTGTGTGTGTGTGTTTTTATATATATATATATATATATGTATCTTCCTACTGTATTTTCCACTCCATGCATCTGAAGAAGTGGGTTTTAGCCCATGAAAGCTTATGCCCAAATAAATGTGTTCGTCTGTAAGGTGCCACAAGGACTCCTCGTTCTTTTTGCTGATACAGACTAACACGGCTACCACTCAAACATTTCTGATGGTTAGAAATCTTTGCCTAATTTCAAGCCTTGTTGATGGCCAATTTATATCCATTTGTTCTTCTGTCCACATTGGTGCTTAACTTAAATAACGCCTCTCTCTCCCTGGTATTTATCCCTCTGATGTATTTATAGAAAGCAATATCTCCCCTCAGCCTTCCTTTGGCTAGGCTAATCAAGCCAAGCTCTTTGAGTCTTCTCTCATAAAGTAGGTTTTCCATTCCTCAGATCATTGCTGAAAATATATTAAGTTATGCGTCTTCGACATACTCTCCTGCTGCTGATTCCATCTGCAATTTCCTAATCAACTGACTTTTTTTAAATTTAAGTGAACAACATAAATCCATTAAAATAAGCCCTTCACTTGAAAGTGTTAACTTTCAATTTCCATATTCGTTACTGACTCTAGTTGCTACTAGTGTCCTTTCTCTCTCACTTAATTTTTACAAATAAAGGAATTGCTCCTAAGATGCACTGACCTTCATCTTTAATGAAGTCTATAATTAATATTAATTACTACTTGCAGTCCAATAGTACCAAGAGGCCCTAGTTAGGGACAGAGGCTCATCATGCTAAAAGTTGTAAATATTTTGTGCTTGATTTCTGTAAGTCCTATAGTCTTCTTGCTTATCTGCAGAACAGCACAGACTCGTATTGGATCTCTTTTATAATGCCTCTTGCCCGCCTTTCGTCTTGTACAACTTCCACTTCCTCATGCCATGTCCATGGGACAGCTTGAAAGCTGAGCAACTAAGACACAACTAGAGAAGAAAGGACATATTCTGTTTGAGTCCAATCTAGAAAACTATATAACAGATTTTCAGGCACCTCTCAGAATCAGGCCTCAAAACTCTTTCCATATCCTCCCAACACATTACCTCCTATCTATAATCCTTGTTCACGCAGCCCTCTTGGAAGACTATAAGAAAGACAATATCCCCCTGCTCCTTTCTTCTTCAAGCATCACTTCTACTCACCGAGTTCAGGAGCCTTCTGCAGTACTGAGCAGCTCAGAGCCAACTCTCACACACAGCATTCAAATTGTACAAAAAAAACGAAGCAGGACAGTAGGAAGTGGCAGTAGTCAATGGAAAAGTAGTAAGATTTAACATTGTTCCATATTTACATTTCTCCCCCACCCTCCTGAATTGGTCATAAAATTTTGGATGGCAATAGTGAGTGAGAAGAGGAAAACCCTTTATATTAAAGAAAACAAATATAAAAAATACTAATGGGCAGGAATTTGAATGAGGACCTAGACAATGAATTGCAATGGGAAAGAATGAAAAACTTTATTTATACTCACAAGATAAGGTTTTTTGTTACATTTCTAGTATACTAGTGATAATATGTGATCATTTTCCTTAATAATAATCTACTCTCCTCATTGGGATAAAGTAGGTGGCCTTTGGGAGCTAACATGCAGCTCAAATCAAAAGAAGACAGGCAAGGACATTACAAAAGAACTCCAGAGCGAGCCTGGTGCTGTATCTAAATTGAAATAAACTCTCCATCAATTAAATGATAAAAAGGGCTATAGAAGTTACACAAATCAAGCACATTTACTGCCTCAAAATATTAGTGTCACATTAAAGCAGAATTGTCCATAAATAAAACATACTGCATCCAGTATTTCCTATTCTCTTGGGCCCCCTGGTAAAGGATATTCAGATTGCTGGAAATGTAATCAAACAAACTACACTGTCTAACTTAAATATATGAAAACTAATCTTAACAAGGCAATCATTTAACAGATTATTATTTGTATTATTTATCAATGGTATTCATACGACACCCATTACTATAGTATCTCAGCACCCACCTCATAATGTCTAATGCTTTTATCCTCACAACACCTCTGTAGGGAAGGAAGTGCTATTACCTGCATTTTACAAAGGCACGGAGAGATTAAGTAACTTGCACACTATCAAATGGGAAGTCTATGGCAGAGCAGGGTGCTGAAGCTGGGTCATCCAAGTTCCAGGCTAGCGCCCTAACTGCAGGACCATTCTTTCCTCCTGTAAGTATTATTATATTTATTGCAGTATTCTACTTTCTCTTATAGTAGAGGCAGGCTCCTATCTTAATCGTCATGGTACAAAACCAAAGTAAAAGTTGGTCCCTGCCCCTCTGGCTTTACACTCTAAAACCCTGAGCCTGGCTTTCAATGGAGTTGGAGCTATCAGAGTTTAATCCTGCTCCACTAAGTCAGTGACAAAACTATTGGGTTGAATGGACAGACAGTGGGCACTAAGGGAAATTTTTTACCCCACTTCTGATAGGTCTATTGTGCAAGGTAGCAGCAGCAGCATCTGTGGAAGTCATGCAGTGGGTGTGCACCTCCTGTGTGATATGCAACCTGCTTCACAAGGACTCCTTGTGTGTATGCACATTGAAGAGAGTGGAACACGGGTGATTCAGAGACATGTGGAGCCTGGAGATCTACTACAGTACTGATACTCTATTCTCTACCTGCGCTGAGGTCACAGAGGGTTACTTTTTCCTTGCACAAGGAGAATTCCTCCCCTTCATGCACCCAGTCCAACCCAGCTGTTCAGGCTGTGTTTCAGTAGGAGGATCTGAATTTTAATGGGGGAGGATTTTGGTGATCTATGTGAAATGAAGTAATGGCCTACACTCAGTTCCTCGTGGACAGATGTTCCTATCATCATCACAGGCATCCTTGTTTCAGCAGAACGGTCAAGGATCAAATCAGCCTGGAACCTGAATCATTCTTTCACCCTAGAAGTGAGCTTTCTAGAGCAGAGTACTTCAGGCACACTGGAGGGGTTGTGAGGGACATGTATTGTTATACCCTGCTCTGACACAGACGTACTGGAGGGAGCTCTCTGGATCTTGTTAAAATTCTGCCACCCTGATTTCCTTGCCTCTGTTTCAGTTCATCCCTATGTTGATACTCTCGAATCGTCCCTGTTGGAATAGACTTATCTATGCTGCTCCTAAAAATACTTCCAAAGAGTAAATTATTTTTCCTTTAAAACAGAGCAAATGTCATATTTGGGAAACATTTTCCTTGAGGAAGAAACTCTCCAGGTTGCCGTATAAGCATTGTTACTGAAAGGGACAAGCAAATTGATAGATTCCCCAGTTCCTCCAGGCTCGTCTTGATCAGTACATGCACCTCTGGGACACTGGGTTTGCCACAGGCAAAGATGAGAAATTTTTCTAGAAGCTCATTGTTTGTGGCAGCTTCATCACTGTGTTCTTATGATAAACAGGAAACACCAGTTTTCAGACATGGGAATTTGCCACCTTTCACAGAAACAAAATGAACATTAACATTTACAACAAAAATCACAAAGTGATAATCTATTTTAAATGCAACATAATCTTGACATTCCAGGAGACAAGCACAAAGAGATGAAATATTTTACATACTTATGCATATCACAGATGTATAGACTTTAAGGCCAGAAGGGGATGATTATGATCATCTAGTCTGAGCTCCATGCCTCTCTGTGTCTTGGTCATGCATGTATTTATAGGAAATTATTGTAATTTTATAATTGTTGAGCATCAATGTACAGAGCTCTGTACAGAACAACATTTACATTTACCTTGTTCAAATTTTCATCTGTAATCGGTTCGTCATAGATGCGAATTTTATCCTCCAAAGATTTTTTCAGAACATCTATCTTATTTCTATTCTTGTATCGTTGTTTTTTGATCTTGGACTATGGATATAAAAAAAAAGTCATCACATCATTAAATATTTTTAAAACTTATATAACATTACTATGTATTAGTATTATTACTATTATTTGTGGGCAATTCCCCAGTTAAGAATACAAAACTGCAATCTTGACTTTCATGACAAAATGTTCCCTGGAAATACATGTTCTAGCTATACCTTTCAGAGGACCCATTCAGTAATTTCAGACTAAGCCACAAAATATGCCTAACTTTTTTGAATGCAGGTTTACATATTCATCCCTGAAAAGAGGATGCAATTGCCAAGTTGCATTATTGCAATTTTGTCCTGCTAGCACAGGAGTGACAAATTTGGTTTTACACAAGCATTTAGTGAATGCTATATGCAATGACTTAATGACATTTTCCTCATCCTTTTTCAACGCCATAAGAAAAGAACAAGATATCATATTCATTTAAAAATTAAATTGTTTTCAAAATGCACTGTATGAATCACAGATGAGCCATGATAATATTAAGGAGCACCCTACTATGTAATCTGACCTTTGTATTCTTTACAAGAATATAAACTAAGCGTAATGTACTTTCAGGGAAAAGATAACATCTGTTCAACTATAAGGCTCTGCAAAGTCATTTCCCTTTTGAAATACATAGCATTTTGGAAATCATTAAGGTTTTGAACTAGGCTAATTCCTAGTGCAATTAGCCTAAGTTAGTTTACACATTAAGAAAAACAGAGTCAATCAAATTGTGGTCAGAGGGGAGACATATCACCTTTTATTATAGTGCTATGACCTACAATTCATAGAAGAGATATGTTTTCTTTTTCTGTGGAGAAAGTTAAGGTAAAGAATTAATCTGTAGTTTATAACATTCAAGGCAATTAAGCATCCTCTACACAAAGTTAAATAGCCAAATAGAAAATGTGTTACCCAATTACCTAATACTTTCCTGGCTGGGACTGACCTCTTTACACCAACTGACCTCTTCTGAGAGGAGTATTCCCTAGCTTCTGTTAAAAACATTGAAAAAAAATGAAAGAGTACATCCCCGGGAGAGTCATGATCCTTCTCTTGGAAAGGCAAGTCTGAAAGCAAGCCATTACCCACTCTAGAACGTAAGAGGGAACCCTCAAGATTTTCTGTTTTTAAGTGGATTGATGTAGACTTGGATTTTTCCCCAAAGAATCTCTAACTGACTCAGCAGTAGAGTCAGACTGAGTCCCAGATGCTGAAGAAGACTGACTCAGCATTGTGGATATGTCTCCAGAGGAGTCTCAGCTTTGGATATGGAGGTCCAATAGGCGGGGAGAACACATTTTTGGCTTCAGAAAGGGCCCCCTTAGAGATGGATCACATCCTGGCTTTCTGGCTTATTCCCATTATAAGGGATAGGGCCCTGGAACAATTAGTCTACAAAGAAAGGGAAGGCTGGAGGAAATGTATTTTCTCATTTCTTCCTAAAAAGCATCTTTAAATGCCAAGATGCTAATGGCAAGACAGGAGCACTGAACTACCACAAATCACATTGTAGGAGGCAGGGAATCGGTTATGCAAGTGGAAGGTGTATTGGACCTCTGTGGAAAAAATCTGAGCTGCATCAAGTATTTGTAGGAAAGGAGGCTGTTACTCTCTGATGCACCCAGAATAGCAACCCAAAACCACAAATAAAACAAAGACAGACATGCACGTAGGTTGTCAATCAAAACATTTAATAACCACAAACTAGTTAGGTTAGCAAAACTCTGAACAAAACACGATAACAGTCTGAACAGCAGATACGTAGCACCAGACCCTGAGTAGATGCACCCACCCACTGTTCAGAACACAAACAGAGCCTTAAACAGGAACACTGAGTTCAAAGAGTAGGAACCAGGACACAAAACAGGAGAAGAAACAGAGGGGAGGAAGCAGGAAGGCAACACACATCAGTCATCACGATTTCCTTCCTTCTCTCTAAAAGTTCAGTGGTACCTGACCAGAGGCACCAGGTGATCCCAGGGTCCTACGTTATACACCTGATTCAGTTCAAGAGGTGGCTGCTATTGCTGTGTGCAACTTCCCCAGTTGGTCACATGATATCAACGTACGCAGAAACAGTGTCCTCTTCCCTATCTGTTCCCCTTTCAGTAGGCAATATATCTTGCTATTTAACAATGCGTTCTCCCAGTAGTAAACATGTTCACCGTGCTCCCTGTGGTAAACACACTCATTATGCTCTTTGCCCTGCAGCCCGCAAGGTAACGCCATGAGTATTGAAAATGTTTTCAAACATTCACCTAACATACACTGCTTGTCCGGGATAGAATGCCTTGATGAGCTCCATGTGCTTGGATGAATATGTTTGTTGAGACTCCCATGTTCTCTAGTCACATCAGTCAGCTTCAAGGACAGCGAAGGGGTGGAATGAACCTTTTCTGTCAGCACAGACAACTTGGTCCTCAAAGGCTGGTTGAAGGGCTGATACAAAGGGTTTCTCCAATACTTTCATGAAGTGTGCACCGAATATCATATAAAGCATAACTTAATGCAACAGGGACGAGTATATCTCCACATTCCTCCAGTATGTGAGCTACACACTTCTTCAAAAAAGAACAGGAGTACTTGTGGCACCTTAGAGACTAACAATTTTATTTGAGCATAAGCTTTCGTGGGCTACCATCCCACTTCTTTGGATGCATAGAATGGAACATATAGTGAGGAGATATATATACACACACATATAGAGAGAGCATGAACAGGTGGGAGTTGTCCTACAAACTCTGAGAGGCCAATTAAGTAAGAGAAAAAAAACTTTTGAAGTGATACTCAAGATAGCTCAGTACAGACAGGTTGATAAGAAGTGTGAGAGTACTTACATGGGGAGATAGA